CCAAATCACAAACACGCCAACAGCGAGAGAGTAACCTGGACTGGCCTGAGCTGGACTTCCAGCCCCTTGGGCACCCTCCTGCTCTGGGGGTTAGGAGGGCTGACATCCCTGCTGGCTGCCATCCACCAACACAGGGTTAATTATCTGAGACCTAGACAGGCAGAAGGGAAGCACAAACATCCCAGCATGAGATTGTTTAACACGCACCTTTGGTCTGGTGGCAGGTCTTTGTGGAGTGTACAAGTGATTTATGGTGTCTCCGTCTAGCATCACGGTGGACAATTTGAGGATGGCTGGATCTCAGGCAGCATCTAAACTGGTGGCTTACCGAAGGCCTCTGACAGCTCCTGATTTACTTAATGAAGAGCTCCTTCCTACAGCTCTGACTGCTGCTTCATCATTCATCATTAACGAAGCATTTAGGTGTCTTATCTCTGAACAGTGAGATTTCTTGTGCACACATAAATCAGCTTCTCTCTGGCAAGAAAGCTCAGTTTTCACCCAGCCAGCTCTTTCTGAAAGCGAAGGCTCTACCACAAGGAGGAAAAATACCTTCCCCTTTTCATTCTCAGACGTGCTACACAACAGTCTTTTCCCTTTCAAATGCTGTTCACTACTTTTCGTTCCATGTTCACCAATTATTAAAACGATTTTGCTCAGACAGAGACCAGAAAAGTAACGTGTAGTTTCTTCTTCCCTTTTTGTCATCTTCCATGTTTTTGTCACACAGGTGAAGATTTGATTTTGTCTCTTTGAAAGATGGCCAAGGACTCATTTGTCATGATTATTCCACTTTTAAGCTGGTGCTGCTCTGCTACACATCTGAAAGCAGATGAGCCCAGTGGTGAACATGTCAGGTTTTGAAAGGTGTCACAGGAGAAAAAATGTTATTAGTTCATCCCGCTAACAAAGGTATCATGCTGGATTTTCAGCCTCACTGGTGTTGCTGTGTCTATGGTTTCTGAAGCCAAAAGATGAAGATTCATTAATTAAACAAAAGAAGCTGGGAGATAATCTTGTGATAAAGTTATTGGAGTGGGACCTGGGAGAACGGGGTTGATTTCTCAGTCCTGGACTGGTTGCTATGTGATCTTATTCAAATCACTGCATGGTAATAAATGCAAAATGTTGGTAGTGCCAGCTCCCCACAGGCTGCAGGCACAGTGGGCAGGGGCTGCTGTACATTATATTTTTCATTATTACCAGCTGGAGTCAGTTCTGCTGTAAGACAAATGAAAATAACCCCCGGACTCTAAATGCATTTTGTGTTCTGCAACTGGCCTTTGCTCAAGCTTGCTATTTTTCCAGAATCTCCTGTGATTGACGAAAGCACTCCTTTTAATGTTTTTTCCCCTTTCTTCTGTTTCCTAGTGAATGTCTTTACCTTCTGTCTGTTGCAAATGTGAACAGTTTTAATTAGGTGCTGTTGAAATGTCTTTTGCAGTTTGGCATCCTGTTTGGTTTTGCTCCTCTCGTTCTCTTTGCAGTTCTGTTCCTTCCCACATTGCTTATGTTTTCTTGTTTGTGGAAGCACTTCTTTATATGCATAATTTAATCATTCTTCACTTCAATTTCATCTCTAATAAGCATAAATAGGGAAAAGGGCATCTGAAGCCCATCTCTGCAGATGCTCTTTAAATAGTCCTCTTTTCCTCTAGCGTGTCCCTCAAACATTACAGGTTTCCAGCTGAACTCAAGGACAAAGCACTCAGCTTAGCTCAATGGATTTGTTGTGTTTCCAAATTATATTCTTAAATTACTTAATTTTTTCTACAACTTTAGAGATCATACTGAGCCTACACCTTCATCTGAGGTCCAAAACAGCAGGGAACTGCTTGAGAAACTCAACAAAGAACAAAAACCCCAGGGGTTGTGTCATTAGAGCCAGTTCCTCATCCCCTCCTTTTCCTGCTCTAGGGTTGTACTACTGGATTTTGCTTTTGCTCATATTATCCGTATTGTATCAGCAGCAAATCTACACGATCTTCTTTCCCCATGGAGATGTACTATCGGTGTCTCACTACTCCCTCCTCAGTGCTCTAATCTGTGAGTACTGGATATCGCAAGTCATTTTTCTCGATTAACCAGATCACTGTTGATCTAGTTACATCCAGTTCATCTGGGGAAGTCAGTAATTCCAGTTAAAATGTGCTATGCATTTACTTCAAACTTTATAAGAGAAGACAGACTTTCCCTTTTATCCTTCTTGACCTCCAACAGCAATACTACAAAAATTATAAAAAATAGGGCTAAAGTGAACTGCAGAGGTCCTCTCTATCACAAGGGCATGGTCATCTATGCCCAAATCCACTCCAAAGAGAGAATTTTAACAGGATTCAAACAGAAATTTTTCAGATTCAGCCTCTGTAATTTCTCCCACAATCTCCTCTAGACTTTACCCTATACCTATCATGACGATGTTTTCTTTCCCTCCTCTGTCATGTTCAAACTGCATCTGCTTTGCTACTGTTTAAGCCTACTATTTCTTCTCCCACCCAGCCCCTGTGCAGTGAGCGTGATTTTTACGAACGTGAAGCCTGTTATCAGATCTTCCCACTTATTCCACCCCTGGACTGCTGACCCAGGCCAGTCCCTGTAGAGAAGTGGCAGAGGGCAGGCAATGAACCCTCTGAGCAGCTTAGGTTTGGGCTGAAGTTAACCACACCAAAAACCAAGGTTTTTGAGAAGCAAGGATTAGCAAGACAAATTTAGTGAGAAGTGGATAAATTAACAGCGACATTTCTTTAAAATTCATTTTTCTGAGGTTTGACATAAGCCACTGAGGTGGTCGCCTCCTATCACGTTATCAACTGTCTTGCTGCAATGAAATCATTTAGCCATGCGTAGAAGAAGAGAGGATTAGACAGAAGGAGACTTGGTCTGTGATGAATGGGATTTCCAGGCAAGCCCGCACACTGCACGGTCGCTGCTCTACCTCCATCCACAGGAGGGTGACAAATATGGAGCTGACCTCTGGGGCACTTTGTCCTGGTGCTAATTCTAGTCAAAAGGTGAATGACGATGCCAGACTCTCCTTTGTGCTTTGGGGTATCAGCAAAACCTTTTGAAAGCGCTCTGGGGTGGGATACTTGGCTTTATCCTGACCTTGGGAAGTACACAGGCTTGTCCCTCCTTCCACACCTTCTTTGTGGGAGCACACCAGCACGGCTGTCCACAGCTAACTCGGTGCAGCAATTCCATCTCTGCAATTAGGACCTCTGTTTTAATGCTTTCTGGCACAGGTGAAGAAACTATTTTTTACTCTTGTGTCAACAAATAAGGACACACACACACACGCAAATCAGTATCTTGCAGAGTTTTCCCCAGTGAATAACACTTCAATCATGAAGTGCTACTAATTCAATCCCGAGGGGGCACCTGTTGAATTTAATTTCCTTCTGCTCTTAACCACTTACTAGAAAAGCAGCAACCTTACACTGCAAGCTTAGAGGTACGTTCTGGGCTCAGGGCAAAAAAATACACTATTAACAAGTGACCTTTCATGTACAGCTGATGAAACCTGTACCCTAAAAATCAATTCCTTCAGCTGCATTTTTCAGGCTTCCTTTAGACACTTTGGAGGATTCACAGCCTTGATCTGACTTGTGGCTTGAGTATTTTGTTTCTGTTTTTGTTTTTTTTTTTCAAAAACCTGCACATCTCCTTTTTAATTTGGGCTCCAGCCAGAGACAAGAGGGGCCAAAACACCAGAAAAGGCTCTGGGAATGAGATGGCTCAGAGAGGAGCTGAAAAACTTTTCAAGAAACCCTTCTCAGCACAGCTTCCTGCTCAGGTTTTCAAACCCAGCCTTGAAGTAACCTCCAAAATTATCCAGCACGTTGTTTACCTAGCGCAGGCTCTGACACATTATAGGTTTGCTCATGGTTAATGGAAGTAGAAGAAGCCCTGAGTAACTTGGCTCTGACAGGCACCGTGACATTTTCTTTCTACAAGGGGAAACCTCAAAGACGCCCATGCCTGATAAGGTCTGACTTTTTCCACAGTTCATATTTACAAAGGAAATAGGTAAAAATATCTGCAGCTACTGGAGAAGAAAAAGAAGCCTTTTTACTGTGTGGAATGGAAACCCTAGCTTCAAAATTAAGGCAGCTAAAATCACTAGTTGCTTTTCAAAATGCTGGCCAAACAGCTGCTGTTTGACATTTGTATGTGCAAAGTTACTGTACAAAAAAAGGAAAGAAGAGAGACGTGTTTGGAAGCACAGCGGTAGCTGCATGCAGAAGAAAACACATGGGTCCTTCCAGCCCGGATTGTGTCATTTAACGTGTGTCTGGATGGCGGAGCTGAAGGCGTCGCATCCGACGTGCTCGCTGGCTATCGGAAAAACACCCGGGGGAAAGCAGGTCAGTGGTGTAACGCTACCAGTGGGATCACCCTGGCTGCACGGCTGGGCTGCACCAGCTTTTGGTCATCTCACGCGCCTCCCATCAGCGCAGGAAAGCTCAAGGGAGGATGCTGTGTAATACGGATGTTTTTTTTTCAGATCCTGGGTTGAAGCCAGGACTCCTCTAGCCCTCATGGTGGGTCAGTTCAGCATCACCATGTCTGCGGGACCAAGTTCACTTGTGACAGCAGAGAAGCAAAGGGTGAGCTCCAGTCTGACGAAGGGCCTGAAATGTTGTGCCCTAAGAACACCAGCAGCCACGGCAGAGAGGAGAGGGATGCCAGCAGTGTTAATAGAACGGTCGGGGAATCCTTACAGATGAAGATGACATGATTAGATAAATTCAGGGTGGTACTGCAGATTAAGTGCATGCCACTAAGCTAATGAAAGTGCAGCCTGCATTTCAAGAGGGCCTTGCTGCAGCGTCAGCAATCAGCGCATTTTTGCTGGTCAAGATAATGGTAATAGTGGGGCAGCAATGCCAGCGAGCAAGAAATACTCTGAGAAATGGTGACAGGTGATTTCAGGAGACCCTTAAAATAATGCTAAGATACTAGAGCCGGACAGACGTGTAGATTAAGCTATAAAAGCTGACCTGTTGGATCAAGTCCTTTCTCCATCATAGCAGAAAGACCCGTGGTAGCCAAGACGTTCAGCTACAATGAAACAAGATTGAGAGGCGCTTCATTAGCATGAAAGATGGGGAAAATAAATAAAAGATGAAACCCTTTAAATGAATGGACAGCAAACCCCAGCAAGCAGGGCCTCTAAACCTACACCAGAGAGAAAACAGATACTGCTGACCTGGCAGTGGAAGGAAATCAGGGAGGGAAGAGTGTCAGGTGCTCCACACGCCCCGTGAGCTACATCAGTACCAGGAGTCAGGCTTCTCCCACTGCTTGCTCCTGGGACACCAGGTCTATCCTCTGGGATATCATCCCGGCCGTGGCAGCGAGGTGAGGCTGTGCAGCTCTCCCCTCCCTTCAAAGTTATCCCCTGACTGCCAGCTAGAAACCGCAAGCTCCTTAGCTTGCTCGCCTTCATCAATATTTTAATAGATATTGGTTTTTACTGTAAGAGACATCACTTCTTGTTAATTTGAGTGCTGGAATAGCACTGGCAGGCAGAATACCTTGGCTCCAAACAAACCCTGAGGGAAAAAGGGAAATATATTCCCAAGAACAACAATTGGAAAGAATCTAATTCAATAATAGATTTTGTTTGGTATCATTCTGGCACCAGCAGTCATCTTCCTGATATTTTTAGGTTCCGATGACGCCAACAGGTTTTGGTTTTTTCTTTACGGGGTTTTATTGTTGCTGCTATGCAAAAAAATCCCAAAGAGAAAATTTCCATAGTTCAATCACATTGAATGAAATTGCAGTTCTTTCCAGAATTTAAGACTTTGTACCACTAGAACCTCAGAAAAACATGCAGAGGTTTGCCTGAGTCTAGAGGGGAGGATTCTTGGTTGGCTTTTGGGGAAGGATAGAGGGCTGGGATGAGGACAGAAAGAAAACACATATTTACCTAGCAAGAGACTAGCAGGGTTTTAGGTGAAGCATATTACACAGCCAAAGAGGTAGAATTTATGTTTATAAATACAAAACAAACATCAAAATCATCTTGTTTCGTGTGACAGCCTCTTTCTTTGTGTTATTCTTTCCAAGGGATTAGTCACGGAAGTATTTATTTGGGGATATTAGCTGCAGTAGCTATACAAACCAGGCACCTAATATTACAAATGCCTGGCCCAGTATTGTTTGTGCTTTCCACTCGGTCATGAAATTCTTGATCTGTAAAAAACCTGCGTGTTTTGAAGAGCTTTTCCCTGCGATTTCCTTTGCTTTGTGCATCACAAAGACTTATTTTTTTGTGCACTAAGTGGCTTGATAGCAGGGTGGGGATTGAAAATCCAGACTAAACTGAGGAGGGGCTCCCAATCAGAGCGAGGGCGAAACGAAGCATATCAGCATCAGCCGGGGAGCTGGGATGGGGCAGAGGTGTATCTGTTGAACCCCGAACCCCTTACCTTTATCGACTCTGAATTCAGGAGCTGTCGCAGATAGACATGGTCAATTGATCACGATGGGGCCGTGCGGTTCCTGACCCATGTTGCCTGACGCAGACACCCGCTCACCGAGGTGCAAAGAGATGCTCACGTAGCTGTAAGCACACCCGCAGCACAGCTCAGGGTCGCAGTCCAGCTGAGATATCTCCAGCCTCTTTCTGCTTGCTGCAGATTTCTTATTCTTCAGTGGAAAAGCCTCCTCTTGAATTTCACTACTGTGGAGGAGAAAGCAGGGAGGGGTTTCACTGAACATCCCCATCTCTTCCCAGGACCACTTGGCCAAAAGAAGAGCAAGAGGGAAGAAAAGACCATCAGATGATTCTCTTGGGAGCTGCATGTCTAATGGTGACGAATTCCAGACCAAGAAAGGACATTATTGTTCCACGCCTGGCCAAACTGAGAGTTAACAAAACCCTTACAAATGAGAGAATTTGTACTTAGGGACAGCAGGATCTGTATCCCCTCACCGCTTCTACTGCCAGGCTCGAGGCTTTTTCTGTTCTTGCTTGAGCACTTGGGATGACGAGACATTGGTTATAAAGCTGCTTGGCTATGAGAAATAAGATGCAAACTATAAATTCATGTTTTCAAGAGTTTGTTCATTTTAGATGTTGCTTCTCAGCTCTGAGTTATACAAGATCCCGTATTTTTCAAGGGTTAATAACTGGTGAATTTTTCTGGTTTGAGTTTCTTCTCTCTTTTTTTTTTTTAATATTTTTTTTTTTTTTTACAATTACAAAAGGTATTTGCAAAACATTTTTTTTTTCCCAGATAGCTTCTGGCTGCTTTCAAGCTGAAATTTGGCAGTCATCATGCATTTCTTATTCAATAACAGACACAGATTCTGCACTTTAAAAGTTGTGGTGGGTACAGACCCAAGAGATTTTTTTTTCTCTTCTTTCAAATCTGCATTAAAAATCACACATCACCTTTTTTTGTATTTAAAGCAAAAGCTACAACAGAAAACTCTAGGATGTGTATTAACAACAGCCAACTAGCCACATATTGCCTGGGTGGCCCTCGTAGAAAGGGTTTTTATCAATAATAAAGTCATGGAAGCTGATGAATTTTACAGTGGGATGATTTAATATTGGGAAATTGGATTGCCTTGGATGCAAAACAGAAGTGGGGATGTGTGGCTTTCTGCATCTCTTGGGCACTTGTCCAAAGCCAGCCCCCATCAGCCCTGCCTGGTGCTTTTACTGTTTACTGTTGGGGTTGGATGGTGGGTGCCCGTGGAGCGAAGGATTTGGGAGAGTGCTGTTCATTAGCCCTGCTGGAGGGGAACCCCCTCAGACCATCCTGCTCCCTCTGGGTTTTTGCATTCATTGCCTATTTCCCTGGAGGGAGGTACATCAGAGAAGAGGGGAATGTGCACATCTAATTTTAACTTTGAAGTGGGGGGAAATGGTGGCGGGTTTTTTCCTGGAGCTCCTTCTTATTCCCCCCCTCCCCGCCCCAAATATCTTTGCAGACTTTTTAAAACCTAGTCTGTTTGAATATGCACAGGCTTCTTAGCGTTTGCTCGGACCAGTGCCTTTGGGTAGCTTTTTGAAAAACATGAGAAATTATCATTTGAAAAGGTATTCCCACACACTCTTTGAGCAGGAAATGTGGCTTCCTTCTCCATCCACTTTATCACTAAGCAGCTTGGAGATAAATAATGGAGACTTTCATGGCCATTGTGATTAAAAACCATCACCCGTGCTGGGATAATCTCTCAAGCGTGTCTTTGCTGAGCAGGGAAATTGGATGGGGAGCTTCACATAGATATCCATGTATTGTCTCCTCCATTGCAAACAGTCACCCACAGACCTCTGCTTAAAAGAAGGTGAAATGGGAGGTGGAGTAAGTCAAGAAATCCACATCCAGAAACACTCACCTTTCAGCCAGTGCTGGCCCTGACAGCTCTCTGTTGCTGGACACCGTGACAGCCATTGGCACTCAGTGAGGCTGGAGAAGATGCTCTGGTTCCCTGTTGCCTGACCCTCTCATATGCATCCTCAGGTTCAGACACACAAACAAGTTATCGGCAGCTTAAAGCTACCTCCTGACATCTGTATGGGCAGGTGGGGCCTTCCCTGGGCAGGGCAGCTTGCTTTAAACCTCTGTCCCTTAGGGCATCGTCACAAGAACATGTGTTGGTCTTTATTCTAGGACCTGGGTTGGTATCCTTCCTCAGGCTGTATGTATAGCTGACAGACCAGCTTGCTCTGGGCTAGCATGGGGAAGGGACTTGCGCGTTGGACATATCTTGAGACATAATGTTCAGGAAAGGGTCATGAGAAAGCTCGATGGGTAAAAAGTTAAGAAATATTTTAGGTGACCTACTGCACGGAACATGGAGACAAAATTTACACTGTTGGAGTACAATACCTGGGAGTCAAAACTCTCCTGAAGGGCACATTTTGATGCAGCTGTAACCAGGTAACAGTGAGCAGCACCTTCACAAAAAGGGAAAGAAAAAACAGACCCAATTTGCCATCCAGACCTCAGTGTTTTCTTGCCCATTTTCGCATGTGCACCAATCTGCCAAGCCAGATGTACAAATGTGTTGTGTGGGCAAACAGGCACTTGTATGGGCAAACATTGCCTTGACGCACGCGTTCTTGTGGGCATGAAATAAGGCAGCGAGGAGAAGCGGGGCCGGGTGAAGGCTGGCCCCTCTCCCCAGCCACAAAAACCATTCCTCTGCTCCCCGACACCAGGAGGCTGGGATAACTAAGCTCAACAAGGCTCAGAAAGGTGGTCAATGCTGCAGGACCTCCTTTCAACCAGTTTCCCCAGCAGGCTGAACCACCCTGCCTTGGTGGCATTGCCATGGGGTTTGACAGCCTCCCATGCCTACTGTGAAAGCCATGCTTGACTGAATCACATCCAAGGTGATATGATCATCTTGGATGAGAAATGAATCACATCAAGGTGCTTATCTCATCTCGCATATGAATTCCTGTCTTCCCCAGGCTAAGAAAGGACACCCAAGGAAGCGGGGAAAGTGATATACCACACTAATAGGACATGCAACACTGTTTATCTGCTGCTATCTATGAATAACCTTGTATAAGACATTAAAAACAGGTGTGAAGTAATGCATTTGCTATGCTTTCACAAGCTAATTGGGAGCATTACAACAAATGACTAGGCAATTAACCAGTGTTTCAACCCCAGTAATCATGTATTGTATTTCTAGCAGAACCACAAGACTCTTTAATATTGACTCCTTTTGTAAGGAAGACCCATTAGCATTGTAGTCTGAATCCCTGTTCTTAGAGCAAATATAGTTCTCCCAGAAACAGTAGCAGGAAGGGAGCGTTTTCCACGCCCTCAGAGCATCCTCGGAGCTGATGGTGTCCAAACATCAGCCCTGACAGCTCCAGCAGAGCAGCCCTTGGGCTGTGCCACTTGGCAGAGCGGGTAGGGGAACAGGCGAGATGTATTTCAGCTGGAGCAATCCCTAGCTGCAGTATGGCTACCCGTGGCTGGTTTGGGCTGAACAAAAAGAATTACTTAAAGAAAAGCAGGGTGGGGAGAGTGTCCTCTTAAAACACATCCTTCCATCCCCCATGGGCCAAGGAGCCCCTGGCCAGTGGGGAGAGAACACCAGCTCCTGGTCAGGGGTAGATCTTTCCCTTCCAGAACCTAAGGGCCAGGTGCCACCATGGATTCATCTTTGTGTCAAAGGCCAATTACGTCTGACTCAGGTCCCAGTTCATTCTGTCTGGGTGGAAAACAGAAGCAGCTTCGAGTGTCCTAAAAAACCCTGGGATCTGAGCATTAGTCTACTGCAGGTTGCTTTAGATTTAGGAGCCCCCGCAGCCTGCAGAGCTGCTGGAAAGGCCCAGGGTTGCTGAATATCAAGGGCGACTCGCAGCAGAAGGAGCTGACAAACACAGCTCTCTCCTGCAGCTCTGAGCACGCTTTGGTGCGCTGCGCTGTCTGATGCAGAGGATGCCAATCTGGCACTGAATGCCTCCTTTAAAATATTCCTCTCCCAGCTCCTAAAACATCCCCCTCCCTCCCCAAAATAAACAAACAACTTAGAAAGCTCACGAGCCTGGGAACGGGCTGCGGGCAGGAAGCTCTGCGAGATGACGGTGCTCCAGCGTCCCACGAAGGCGGGGGCTTGTGCATCCTTCTGTCTCATGGTGGTTTCCGGCTCCTTCGCATCACACCCCGCGGGTCCCGCTCCCCCCGCACCGCAGCTAGCGGGGAGGTGGCTCACACGGACCCCGCAGCAATGTCACGGTGGGTGCTGTCAGGATGTTGAGACAGGATTAGCACTGGGTGACCTTCGAGAGAGCCAGAGTGCTGTAGGGCTGGCTTCTGGCTGGGGAGAAATGAAATCTGTGTTATAAACGCTGGGCAAAAATGATTTACCACCACCCCCCCCCCCCATTCAACACCACAGTACTTCCCTCCGTCCAACTGGGGCAGGAGGAAGGGCTGTGCAAGCCAGGCATCGAGTCCTCACCAAAATTGAGGGAGATGAGAAAGGGTCTGGTTGATCTCAGCCTCCATCTCCCGTCAGTGAGGGCAGGAACAAGGGATGCTCAGGCTGCTCCCCTCTGTGCCAAGGGCCAAGGCAGCTGAGTCTCTCCTTGTGTAAACTTCATCTGCCCTTTGTAGTTCTCTGCCCTCCTCCTTCCTCGAGAACAACGAAGCAAAGTGAAAAACAGAGGCTTTATTACAAACAGTACCTGTTTCCATAGAGATTTGCTTAGAAAAATACCCGAGACGAAGATGGAGGTTGGAGAGGAAAACACAAGGGCTTGTCCTTGTGCGTCGCAGGAGATGTCTCGCCCACCTGCAGTGTTCAGCAGCCTCCACTCTCCTGGATGGGACTGAGCACGGGTGTGTGACAAGACCCCCAGCCCGTCCCCACCAGTCTGCCACAGCAGGCATTCTGGCAGGTTCTGGAACCCCCTATGGGAATGTCCCCAACCAACAGCCTCCAGGGATCAGAGGTAAAGGAGAGGAGCCTGTCTGTGAAACAGCACGGGGACGAAAGACAGAAATGACATCTTCTTAAGGGAGAAGGTGAAAATAGGAGGCAGCTGCCACCCTCCCGCTGCCTGCGAGGGGCATGGGCAGCACAAGGCCGGCCCGCCCGGCAGATAGAACATCCCTCCCCACCACTGCAGCATCGCCCTGCAGCACAGCAAACGCTGGGAGGAACCTGCCTGCATCCTTAGCGATGCTGAGCGATGCTCAGCCGGTGATTCACCAGCCGCGTTTGCTGGGCTGTGTGGGACGGGACGGCGCAGCCCCGGCATCGGTGGTGGCCCCTGCCCAGCTCTCCCTTTGTGGGGTGTCTGCTGCTGAGAGCTTTGCCCATCTCTTCTCACATGCTTGACACAAACCGGGCCAAATTCATCCCCGGTACAACCCCGCTGACACCAGCGGCATTATTAACGCAGTGAGAGCTGGCGCTTCTCTTTAACAAGGGACATTAGAGAAGTTTCCTTGACCCTGCAGAATCCCGGATTTTCTTGTTCTGCTGGCAAATCGTGATGCCTCAGGAGGAGATAAAAGCACGGATGCAATTAGATTCTCTCCTATTTGCCTTTAATCAGCTCTCTAAGGAAACGAGCTCTGTGGAAAATTGTTGCAAACACTTGATTATTTCCACAGTTTTCCAGAGGAAGGAGAGGGTTGCAAGACAGGCAGGGTTGAAGAAAAAAATGGGAAGGGTAGGCTTGCAGGATTCTACAGCACTTCCCGCCACCAGTAGGTGATACTGGCTCAAACTGGTAGGAAGTAGCTATTCCCCTCATCAGGTAGATGGGCGGAGATATGCTGGTCCCACATGTTTGGTAAAGTACATAAGGGGATGCAACTAAGGAATTAAATAGATGAGACTTTCTTAGACTGTGGTATGTTGTCTTGAGGAAAGGCAAACAAACCCCGAGAGCATTGCCAGGGCGATGGCAGTGGGGTCGGACTGGGGGGACGCTGGCACCCGGCTGGAGAGGCTGGACTGCCAGGGCCAAGGGAGAGGTGTGCTCCTACCAGGATGGGGTCACAACCTAGCACGGCTTTCATCGGCATGCCTGCTCCTCGGAAAGCAGAGGTCCTTCCCCTGAACATAGACTGAAATTTGGGGAGCCCACGGGATGACTTTAGGCCTCGAGGAGTGCCTCCTTCTCTGGTGAGATGGGTTTTATTGCCACACTCAGCTTGCATGGAGTCTCTCACACACTTTCCAGGCTGATCCATGAATGAAGGTGCAACTATCTCCCAACAGTAGATCCCTGGAGAGAAGTGGCCACTTTTACAGAACAGGGATATATGAATGGCAAACAAATTCCTCAGCTAAAGAAACCCACGGATTCACAGGAAGAAAATGACAGCAGTCTTGAGAGGGACACAGGCTTCACCACACAGGGTGAGAGACCGTTTAGGGGCAAACGAACCTTCTCCTTGAAGAACAGCCATGACTCAGCTCCACCAGCCGGGAAAAACAACCAGACGGAGCCGGGCATTCTCTCAGCACAGAAAAGCCTCGCCAGGGAGGGGACAGGAGGCAGCCGCTACTCGTATCCAGCCTCTGCGAGGCACACGAAGAAGAGAAGCCAAGTGTCCTGCTGCGCCTTCGCCTTCCAGCCTTCACCGTCACAGCACCAACGCTCTCCCGGCCACCCTGGAGCTCTCGATGTCACTTTGATCCTGCCAGTCCTGGCAGCCAGGGAGGCAGCCAGGGTAAACCCAAATGCTGTTAGTGCTACCCTCTGATGAGTGTGCTCACACGCACACGCCGCCCACGGAGGGGGAGAACAGCGGTGTATCAGTTTTTCCCAACAGGGCTGGGAAATTAAAATGCAAACAAGATTATTTGGTATTATCATAGCTGGGCACACTGAGAAATCATCTGGCTTTTGCATTCCTGCAAAAAAGAAGAGATGCTCTCCGCTGGCAGGGCCTCACAGCTGCCTCTGCATAGCCTCTGTTTAAAAAGAAAGAAATTCATCCACCCTCGGCTTGGTCTGCAAGATC